GTGACTTGATCCTAAGAGATTTGAGTTCAATACCTGGCTAGAGCTGAGGTGAACAAAAACTTGGAGAGTTGAGTTAAAGGGAGATAACTGATACTGAGAGGCATGACACGTGGAACTAGAAGATTCTAACCGAAATAAAGGCTTCAGTTCAAAATTGCAATCACCTGAAGAAGACTGGAGCGTACAGCAGCCGAAACGTCCTGAATATGACAACGAAGATGAGGACAACTGTCCGAAGAATGTAAATAGAAAATTTATGGTACTTGGCTACGCTCCTTAGAAAAAAACCCTGTAATTTTAACCCCTTTACCTGTTTGCAATTCTCCCCCAAATTTGTTTTCAATCGGTCAATGTATGGCTATTTTAGAGGGTGTGACGGGTGGACTAACGCAAGACAGAATTTCATATAATATATATATATATATATATATATATATATATATATATATATATATATATATATATATATATATTTCTTTGGAGTGATATATTGGGATAATAACTGTACAGATTGTCCGCAAAAATTGACATCATTTAAAATGTTAACATCTGAGTAACTACATGTACCAGACAAACGAAATTCAATAGGCTTCATGTTGAACAATACAATATTTATTAAACAAAATTCAAACAAGATATTCAAAGCTATATAGATTTTATAATCTATTTCACAAATGTTCAACATACGCACCACCTGTGACGCGACGCATGTCAAGTCGATAGTCCAGGTCCTGCCAGACACGCTTTAGCATGTCTTGCGTAACATTCTCCAGGGCCTCAGTGATTATCTGCTGAAGTTTCTCTAGGCTTGTAGCAAGAAGAAGGATATAGACCTGTCCCTTTACATAGCCCCAAAGAAAGGAATCACAAGATGTCAAGTCCGGTGAACGTGGTAGCCATTTCAACAGCACATTGTCATTAACACTAGCACACCTGATCTATTTTTCTGGCAGTTTCTCAATGAGATAAGTCCGTAATGTCAACTTAGTTTTTATACATTTTGCTAAAATTTGCCATCATTTGAACGAAAATTGGCTATATTATTATACTATAAAATGATGTCAATTTTTGCGGGACACTTTGTTCTTATATAATAATTATATAAGTAATGACTTTAAATGATAATAATAATTATTACTACTACTACTACAACATTTGCACAATATATTCCAATTGGCTCACACTTCTAAAGGGTGTTTCATTAAGACGGATCAAAGTCAGCAGTAAATAAATCAGTGTTATTGGTGAAAGTTTATTTATTTTTAAATTGGATCCTGTTATTTAAGTCATGGCAATTATGTGTGAAAAATAATATCGCCCAAATGTCCGACAAGGATTCGGTGGCACACCTTCACTTGATGGTCAAAATTTTAGATGACGTCTCTGCATAGTTGCTCCTCGATCTCACCAATATGCCTTATTATCTCATCCTTCACCTGTTGAATTGTTGTTGGCATAGACTTTACTTTTGAGATAACCTCAAATGAAGAAATCTAAAGGCGTCAAGTCTCACGATCATGGTGGCCAGTTGACTTCGCTGTTTCGAGAGGTGATGCGACCTGGGAACTTCTCATTTAAATTCTGTTTGAACGTCCATTTTCGTAATAGGCTTCGATAACTTTAACATGTTTTTTGATTGTTAATTTTTCCATGGCTGAAATTGCCAAACACTTAAGTTGTTAAATCTGCAAGAAAAAAGAAAAAAATCATTAAACGTTTAAATCTAATTCACATTTAAAATCGGTCCAAGTTATTGGAACACCCTTTATAAGTAATGCTGATAAGAAATACTGCAAAATTAGACGTCTCGCCACAGAGATTAGTCCAGCAAGCTCCTCTTGCAGGTCTTTACTACGGCACTAATTTTAATCCTCACCAGGTGACTTTCTACGAGACTAAATGAAAATTAGAGTTATAGCTATTTACTATGTGAGGACCTCATTGTAAAGTAATACAAAACAAACTTATTTCGATGATCTTACGGGTTGTGCCAGTTTTGTGGCCTTGTACCAGACAGTGCTAACATACATATTTATATCTGTAGTGCATTAATAGCTTCATTGTCCTTACAGCTTGCTCACAGTCGTGGCATTTATGTGCACTAATCCGATTAATATCAATGTCAAAGCAAATGCTAATAACTGTTTCCTTATAAGGAAACATTTGATATTCATTGACCAAGCAGCCAATATTACATTCTAGTGACATTTATAAAATCTTGGTGTTCAAACATTTTCAGGGAAATAGGTTTCTCAAGCTCACTGCTATCGCTCTTTCCAGTACCGATGTAGGTTTGCTTCCTAACCTTTTGTTTGAAGTCGTATTAAATGTCAACGTCTTGATAATGTCATTATCTTCTCTTCGAGTTACATGTGAGATTCCTTTTAGCTGTTTCTGCTGTTGGAAATCCTCAAGTGGCGTTGTTTCTGCTATTTATGATTCTCTACACGAGGCACGAGGAAAGCTCGTTTGGTTTCGTTTGTTTTATTTCACGGCATATCAACCTCAATGGGTTATTTAATGCTGATAACTTTTTTCCTGGTAATATTTTGTTTTGTCGAAAATCTATTTCTGATAATATTTTTTTCCTCAAAAATGTATAGCTAGTAATATTATTTTAAAAAGTGTATTGCTGGTAAGGTTTTTTTTTCAAAAACGTATTGCTGGTAATATTTTTTTTTCAAAAATATGTTGCTGGTAATACTTTTTTCCTTGGAAAATTGATTTCTGGAAATAATTTTTTACAAAGTATTTCTTATATTAAAATCTATTTTTACACTTTCATAAGACTTTTTATTTCAGTTTGGGGGTTAACTATTTGCCCATAGATGGGACCCTAACAGGTGCTACCACCCTGGGTCAGGGTGGACCTGGGAACACCAGCAATTAAGAGGTGGTTCCACGCTCCTCAAAACCTCCTGATCAGAGGCCTTGCTGTTAGACGTAGTTTATTGTCTTACCCTGGACGCGGATGTAGTTTATCGTCATACCCAGGATGGTGAAGAAAGATGATCTTCCTTATGACCAACAAGTTTCCTTCGCTGAAAGCCATTTTTGATTTGATTTTTTTTAAGGCATTTTACTTCTAGCAAGGCGGGAGTGCCACTAGCACGCAGGAGGTTACGTTACAGAGAGTGAATGTAAGGGAAAAGTCTCTGTATAGTGGGCATTGGGTAAAAGAAGAACAGAGACCAGGGCGACAGAAGATGGCGATTGATGATGCATTTAAATTATAGAAGATTTTGGTTATCAGGGAAGTAAGTAAGAGGAAGGGAGTTAAACTGTCGGGAAGCGCGAGAAATCAGACTGCTGGACTAGAACGGGCGATTGCATTAAACTATTTCAACAATAAAACGGTGGGACCTAGATGCCAATCTAGTAGCATCCTTAAATTCATGCAGTCGGGCATCAGGGAAAAGAGCTCATCAGAAGAGTTACCATCAAAATATTTGTAGAAAAGACAGAGGGAAGCCATATCACGTCGGGGAGAAAGTGACTGAAGTCGAGATGCCAGGTCAAAACCGATTACATTGCAAATCCTTCTTTGGATTTTGTCGAGAACCTCGAGATGAATATCAGGGGCAACAGACCAGATATGGCAACTGTATTCCATTCATGGACGAATGGTAGATTTGTAGATGTGTAAGATGGACTCTGTCGAGAAAAAAACTTCTGGCCCAACAGAGTGAACCGGCTTTCCTTGCAGTAGATGCAGCTATTGATTGAATGTAGTTGTTCCACCTCAAGTCTTTGGAAAACGTGAGGCCAAGAAGGCACAGTGAATCATTGTCAGACAGTATAGCATCAACCATGCTGAGTAGGGTCAGGTGAAGGTTCTCTGCGGCGGTTAAATGAGAGCATTTTAATTTTGTAGGCATTCAAGTTTACAAGCCATTTACAGAGGGAAGCCACGTCACGGAAGTGGAAAAGTGACTGAAGCCAAGATGCCAGGTCAGGACCGATAACAATACACAACCTTCTTTGGAGTTTATCGAGAGTCTTGAGATATATAGCAGGAGCACCAAACCAGATATGACAACAGTATTCAATTCAAAGACGAACGGTAGATTTATAAATGTGCAAGACTGATTCTATATTTCATTTCCTTATCACCCATACTAAATTTCTTATAACTGATCCATACAGCGATGTATTTGATGTGGTTCCACATCCCGAATTTTAGAGAAAGACTGATTTTCATCGCAATAAAAATAATGACCTTTTACCAAAAGTATCAAATAATTTTATTGTTATTACACTTCTTATTGATTACATGTCAGTAAGAATGACTCGTTATTGAAAACATTAATACAACAAAGGAATAATAATGATAATAGGGGGGTGATAAAAATATTGTCGGCTCTATCCGCTTTTCAAAATCATTATTATCATGTTTAGCCATTGGCAAACAGACTTTTGGAAAATGGATCAAACAGAAAACCTTTCAGCACCATGCTTTGGCTTACCGTAATTCCCAATGTATAATACGCCTTCATCTATAATACTCACACCTAAAATTGTACTGAAAATGTGGGAAAATGCTTCTACACATGCATAATACGCACCGTTTGTTTGGTAATCAAACCCTATAAATTGCACATCTCCAATTTCATTACTGTCAGCGTTTCCTACTCTTATTTAAGAAAATGGTTTTAAACATAGAATAATATTCTAATTTAGTTTTATGATAATTCTTATTTTATTTTACGGGATTTTTTTTAAAAGGTTTTTGTAGCTGTCCATAATACTCACCCCTGAATTCGCTTATTATCTTTTTAGAAAACATGCGTATTATATATGGGGAATTACTGTAATCATTAACTGTTCCCTCACTGATCGCTAGGGAGATTCCAAAGCAATTTCTACCCTAAATCCAACTGATAGTAAATTATTGATGTTACCTAATCCCTAATCAGCTATTACAGAGTTAACTATCATAGACACTGTTACAGAGTGGGAAATTGCTACTACTTGCTTTATAACTAATTCTGGAGTTATTA